TAATCTCAATCTCATACTCTAATCCATCCAATCAAACATGCCCATAAGGTTAAAGTTGCCGTTCTGGTTCAATTTGTGAATTTCAATTTTACAGAGAGTTATAGTTGCTTTTTTTTTTTTTGAGGACCGAAAGTTATAGTTTTATATTGTAAATATTTATTTTTACAGTGATAAAAATTTATTATGAAAGCTTAAAGGAAGTTCATTTAAAAAGGCACTACATTTATAATTTTTGGTTCACAACACCGGTAAGGTTAAGGCTTATGTTTTGGTTCAATTTGTGAATTTACCATGTTCAAGTTGGGAATAAGGGTATTTTGGTAAGTAACAGAAGCTAGAACAAGAAGAGTGAAATTTACTTTTCATTTTTAGTTTTGGATGATAATCTTGATTGAATAAAGTTTTGCCTTAGAAAAATTATACAGTTGGTTTTTATAATTTCAATAAAATTTTATTTTGATATCTGTAATATTAATTTCATCATTTAATTTCAATGTGATATTTCATAAGGAGTCAAGTTGCATTTTCTTAATGAAAAAAAAGATACACGTGTTTCACTTGTGTTTTTAAAGAGCAATTTAATTAATTATCTAGCAATACACTTGAAATTTTTTCATATCTTCTCTTAGTCGCTATAATCTAAGTTCCTGTTTAAGTTAATAAATTATTATATCACTCCTTTTATTTTTTTATATGTCATTTTACAAAAAATTAAAAATTAATTAAAATAGTCAATTTCTTCCCACCGTTGCCCCAGCCCCTACTGCTACCCATACTCCTCCCCTTAGTTAGCATCCCTTCATCCCCTCCTTCAACCGCTGTAACTTCTCCCTTTTTTCTCAGTCATCACACTCTTAACATTTTAAAAGCTCGTTTGGAATGTCAATTGTTTTTTAATTTTTTAGCTTTTTAAAAATCCCCGTTTGAGATAATTTTTTTAACTTTTTTTACTTTTGTGAGAGTAAAAAGAAAATGATTATAATTTGAATGTGACTTTTTATCTTATTAGGTTAAAAATACCTATTTTATCTTTTTGTGACTATTTTAATCAAAAAATTTCATTTTAACTTATACCAAATGAAGGCGCTAAAACTCCTCTATCACTCATGGAAATTGCAACGCACTCTGTTTAGTCACGACAATCGCTAAGCCTCCAACCCCATCCTGGCCCAGCACTCCACTTCCCTTTCTACTTTGAACTACCATTAGCCATTGGTTCAAAGTCTCGTTTTTTATCAATCAAATTAGAGAGAAAGAGAGAGTGTTAAAAGGTCATAAAAAAATTAACAAAAATATTTTTAATTTTTCTTAATAAAATTATAGTAAAAGTCATCGAGACAGAACTAGTGAGATGCACACGATCCTTTTTTTCGTACAAAATGCAAACAATTTCTTATGGAATCATATTAAAATGCAATGGGAAGTTAAGATTTAAAATAACTAAAGTGTGGTCTTATTTGGTTTGTTTTTCAAATAAAAAATTCAAAAACTAATTTGATAAATATTAAATTTTATTTTAATTTTTTTAAAAAAATTTATGACCTCCCAAAAAAATATATAAAAATGATAATGATTTTTTGTTTTTTTATTTCTTTCACTAAATTTATTTTTAATTTTTTTAAAAAAATTAAACAAAGTTTATGAAAATCAAACTAATTTTTTTTTCGTGGGTTTTCTTTTTCAGTTCAAAAAAAAAAAAACCTGGAAAATTTAAGTTATTTGAATTAAAAAAATAAAAATAAAAGTAAGAGAGAAAAAAATTATCTACTTTTTGGGCATTGCACTAAAGGGTGATGTTTGGCTCATAGGGACCATCACGGGTCCCGTTTTGATAATCTGAATCGTTCAATGTGTAAAACTCGTCGACTACTATATGCCTTTAAAAAATTAAGTTGATCGGATATCGATAGCTATCTGATCTGACTTGTTTTTTTTTAACCGTTAATTATAACACCTTTATTTTTTATACAAAACTGATTTGATCATGTAGTTATCGATATCCGATCAATGTGATTTTTTTTAAACATATAGTACTCGACGAGTTTTACACATTTAACGGTTCAGATTATCAAAACGGGACCCGTGATGGGCCCCCACGGACAGAACAACAGTGTGTTAAAATTACACCCCAACTGTGCAATTTTTGTTACACAACGCAACACAGATCTGAGGCTCTCAGATTGATGTGTTGTAATTTTATGTGTAAAATTAATTTTTTAATATTTTTTTGGAATAATGATAATTTTTTAACTTTTTGAATAATTTTTTAATTTTTTTTTCTTTTTTATGACATGTCAAACTTAACTTTAAATAATCACAAACCACCCCTTATTGGCCCCGTTTGGTAAGGTTGTGGGAAAGTGATTATAGTTTATATCTTAACAGCTTATAGCTGATAACTGTGAACATAAGCTGATTTTTAACTTATAAATTAAGTTTCTCCTCCCCCACTCAAATAATAAGTTGATTTTTGATTTACAAAAAACTATAAGCTTATTGTTAAACTAAACCAAACATATCAAAATAACTTAAATTAAACTAAAAGCTGAAATAAACTAAAAATAAGCCCTACCAAACAGGGCTATTATACTCGCCTCATGTTTTTTTTCATTACCCAATGTAAATTCATAAACTCCACCCTTTTCAACAGTTAGTACAATTTTGTTGGGACACTACTTGACGGGTGTCCAGAGCCAATCAATAATGAGTCTGGATCCTCTGTCGTGTTTATCTGCGGTGGTTTTTGCGGCGTCTTCAAAACGATGCCGTTTTAATATATATATTTTTTTTCATTTCCCCATTATTTCGTTCTCTCTCTCAGCTCTCAAATGTTTGACAAACCAGAACCCAACCCTAAGCACATTATAAACAGAGAGACGAAGAGGACATAGATGATCGGACGGCGAGGCAACGGGTTCTGTTCCATTTTTTCCTCTGTTTTTTTTTTTTTTTGCAGCTGAGTTTCGCAGATGAGTCTCTGATTGTACATTCAACTCTTAGATGTGTGTTTTATTTAATGTGAACTCAAGTGGGAGAGATAAATAAAATTATGTATCTTGATATATGAACCTTTTGTTTTTCTTAACATGATCGGTAGATTTTGGTTAATTTTGAAGAAATAAAAAAGTCATTTCCATATGAAAATCATAGACTCCTATTATTTTTCTTATTGATTTTAAATTCATTGTTGACCATTGCTTGGTGATTTACGTATTTCATTTTGAGTATCTATGAGATTTTAAAATTAAAAAACAAAAAATAACTTTCTTTTCTTGATTTGAACATGAACCTCTTTTGGGAAGAAGATCTCAAGACTGAGAGGATTTTGATGAATTATGATTGGACTCAAGAATGATACCCACTGTATCTAACATAGATTTTTGCCGGTCATTTATCACCGTTTATTCGCCGCTCACTGCCTCGCCGTTGCGTTGTCCGATCATCTATGTCCTCTTCGTGTCTTTGTTCATAAGATACTTAGGCCTCGTTTGGGAACAGGCTAATTTAGTAATTTTTTGGTTATTTGGCTAAAAAGGTAGGTAAAAAAAACTTGTATGTTTGAGATGAATTTTTAGCTAATTACGAAAAGATGTGCAAAAAGTAGAGAGAAAAGAGAATCTGACTTTTTGACATGAGTTGTTGACTTTTTGACTAATTTAGTAACTTTTTAACTAATTAACTAAAATAACTTCTTACCAAACGAGGCCTTAGGGTCGGATTCTAGTCGCTCAAACATTTGAGAGTTGAGAGAGAGAACGAAGGAAGGGAAAATAAACAAAAAAAAATTCCTCTGTTTTTTTTTTACGAGGCAACGGGCTCTGTTCCATTTTTTCCTTTTTTTTTTCTTTGTTTCGCAGATGAGTCTCTGATTGTACATTCAACTCTTAGATGTGTGTTTTATTTAATGTGAACTCAAGTGGGAGAGATAAATAAAATTATGTATCTTGATATATGAACCTTTTGTTTTTCTTAACATGATCGGTAGATTTTGGTTAATTTTGAAGAAATAGAAAAGTCATTTCCATATGAAAATCATAGACCCCTATTATTTTTCTTATTGATTTTAAATTCATTGTTGACCATTGCTTGGTGATTTACGTATTTCATTTTGAGTATCTATGAGATTTTAAAATTAAAAAACAAAAAACAACTTTCTTTTCTTGATTTGAACATGAACCTCTTTTGGGAAGAAAATCTCAAGACTGAGAGGATTTTGATGAATTATGATTGGACTCAAGAATGATACCCACTGTATCTAACATAGATTTTTGCCGGTCATTTATCACCGTTTATTCGCCGCTCACTGCCTCGCCGTTGCGTTGTCCGATCATCTATGTCCTCTTCGTGTCTTTGTTCATAAGATACTTAGGCCTCGTTTGGGAACAGGTTAATTTAGTAATTTTTTGGTTATTTGGCTAAAAAGGTAGGTAAAAAAAACTTGTATGTTTGAGATGAATTTTTAGCTAATTACGAAAAGATGTGCAAAAAGTAGAGAGAAAAGAGAATCTGACTTTTTGACATGAGTTGTTGACTTTTTGACTAATTTAGTAACTTTTTAACTAATTAACTAAAATAACTTCTTACCAAACGAGGCCTTAGGGTCGGATTCTAGTCGCTCAAACATTTGAGAGTTGAGAGAGAACGAAAGAAGGAGAAATAAACAAAAAAAATAATATTAAAAAATATCACAAAAAGCACCACAAATAAACACGACGACAGAGGATCCGAACCCATCAAAAATTTGTACAGAGAGAGTGGGGGTGCAGTTAAAATTTGGGATCATATCCAAAGATTTGACCATATTAATACCAAATAGCATGTGATGACAAAAACATCACATCGAAAGAGATGACATGCATGTACTCTTCCCAAAAGAGCATACATCTCAAAGTGGACCAGGGATCCCCAACCCCAACCCCAACCCCAACCCCAACACCCAAAACCCTCAATCTCAAACCCCTAAAACCCTAAACTAAACCCCTAACCCCTAAACTAAAAACAAACCCCTATCTCCTCCCTCTCTCTCTCTCTCTCTCTCTCTGCCCTTTTATATCAGAGCGTCCCTTTTCTCTTCCACTATTTATTGCGCTCTCTCTCAATGATATTTGTGGTTTGAATCGCCCCATGGCATGCTTCGACATGTACTCTTCCTCCTCCTCCACCAACGGCCAAAACTCGGACCACAAAGGCCTCTCATGCGGAGCACCCATGAGCCCCAGAATCTCCTTCTCGAACGACTTCGCCGAGTCCAATCACTCTCACCATCAACAATTTATTAAGCCCAGAGAAACCCCACCGCCCTCCTCCGACTTCGAATTCTCTGTCTCCAACCATTCCATGATGAGCGCTGATGAGTTGTTTTTCAAGGGCAGGTTGTTGCCATTCAAGGATAGCTGTTCCAACCAGTTGCAGAAACCCACTACTCTCAGAGAAGAGCTGATGGTGGACGATGAAGAAGATGACCATGAGTTCTCGCTCAGGCCCCCCAAGGGCTCTACTCGTTGGAAGGGTATTCTGGGTCTCAAGAAGACCCACATTGGATCCACCAAGAAATCTGCCAAGCCTGATGGATCTATGGAGAAGAGGCCTGGTTTCGTTAGCAATAGTTCGCAGGTGAGTTTGAAAAATGGAGAGTGAACTTTACATGTTCGACGAAATGTTTCTGATAGCTAAAAATAAAAATTAATGGTTTGTTTCTTTCTTTTGGTGCTTTTGTTGTTTGCAGGAAGTGTTGAATGATGGAGGGTCAAGTTGCAGAGATGTGGAGTTTGGGATGTGACAATGATGGCATTGTTGTTCATGAGATGGATTTGTAGAGATTTGGGCCATTTTTTGGAATGGTTTCTTGTATTTTTGGAGGTGGGTTTTTTTTTTTTTTTTTTTACTTTTTTAATGCATTAGTGCTATTAGTGGTGATTGTGTTATTAGTGGGATGGGGTTGGGCTTATTAACTTTTTGATTCATCTCTCTCTTGTTTTTGGAGTTTTTAGTTTTACTATCTATTCTCTAATTTCTTAGAAAATTGGTGTTTTGGCTGTTTCTCTGTACAAAATGTTTGCATTTCAGGAACTTTCTATGTGATGTCGAGCACTGATATCTTTATCTGGATTCATATGTTTGAAATTATATATTTTTGATTTGGACCCATTCATCGTGTCTTCACTTTTGGAAGGTGAAAAGACTCCATTTTTTTTGGCTTGTGGGTAGATAACAAAGACAGAAGGGGTGAGGAAATCCCCTCCCCCACTCCTGTGTTTCTTTTGTTGGCCAATGTGTTTTTTTGTTTACCAAATGCTGACAATCTGTTAGACGTTTAAAAAGTTGTAAAATTAGTGAAAAATGTCCTAACATTAATTGTAAGTATTTTTTACTTTTGTTTATGTCTAGCACTGTATTTTAGCAAATGTAAATACCACAAAAAAAGTGGGTATTATATTTAAATCACCAAGGTTTTTTGTCACTAAATTTTTCTATCCCAAAACAATCACAATTATTAGATTATTATAAATATTAAGGTGTATAATCTTATTACATGATTCAATAGATATGAATGTTTCAAGATAAAATGAAGAAAATTTGAATGCAAAAGATTCCATGCCAATTCAAACAAAACTTTAATTACACATTGAGCAACAATTTCTTTAAAATAAGTTGTCACAATGTTGGGAGAAAATTATTCAATGTTTTTAGAGTAAATTCAAGTAGTAGTTTTGTTAACATGTGCCTTAAAGATGTATGTTAAGGAATACAGTAAATAAGTATAATTACTTTAAAAAAAAACTGACATACAAGTCCAATTTTTAGATTCATTTACAAGTCTGTTTTTTTGATTCATTTTCTAAACCCAGTGATTGGTTGACAATCATCTTTTTGACATATCACTAAGTCTAAAAAGTGGGTCTAATTTTTTTGGCCGAACACCATGCTTGGTTATCATTTTTCAAAAACACTTTTCAGAAAATTCTACTTTCCTATTTTTCGTATTTTTTTGTTTTTACTGAATTTTTTTAATATTTTGAACAATTTTTTTTTTAATTTTTAAACATAACTAACATAAATATACCCAAAAAGTAAAAAAAGTTGAAAAAAACTTTTAAAAAATTCACTAAATACCAAGAATACAAAAAAAATACGAAAATTCAGTAAATTTTTTTTGTATTTTTTTGTATTTATTAATTTTTAAAAATATTTTTTCACAAATTTTTTATTTTTTAGATACATCTAAGTAAGGTGCATCTAAAAAAGTAAAAAAAAAATGTTTAAAATTTTAAAAATATTCACTAAAAATAAAAAAATACGAAAATCAAAAAATTCAATTTTTAAAAAATTTAATTCAAAAAACTCAAACCAAACACACTGATTCAATACTCTTACTTCAATTTGTATAGAAAGTAGGAAAAGCTTTAGGATTAATGAATTTGTTAATATATAGAGGCCAAAATACCCTCATTATATTTTTCTCAATTTCATTCATTAATTTGGCTTATATTATTTCATTTTATTATAATTATATATATTTGAATTTGCAACACATACAATGAGTATATAATTTTAAATAAAATATTTTTATTTATTTTGTTTATTATTTTTTGGAATAAATTGAAATGCATTTTTTTTTGGTTCTAATATTATAAAATTAATAGATTAAAATCTAATTGTAAGTAAAATTTATCAATCTATTTTAAAGAATTTTTTCAAGTTTTATGAGCTTCCAAATAAAGAAAATAATATTATTTTATATGATTTATAAATTTATTTTTTTATTTATAATGAAATATTAATGTTTTTTTGTTTCTTATTCAAGAGGGCACTATCATTTTATTTTGTTATATTTTTTTTATAAATAAGTCAATTTCTCAAATGTACAAAAATATCTAAGTTTTTGAAAATCATCATATTTATTCTATTTATATTTCATATTCTCTCCCGCAAGTGAATGTAATTAAGATACTTAAATACATTCTTAACAGGTACACTAGTGGTGCAGGTTAACAACACCCCATGTTTCATGTTAGTTAAGAAGTAATTAATAATCCTGTTTGGTAGAGCTGGAAAGTATTTATATCTTATGCCTAAACAGTTTATAACTTATAATTATGAACATAAGTTGATTTCTGACTTATTCTTAAAGCATCTCCTACCCCACTCAAAGAATAAGCTGATTTCTGACTTACAAAAAGCTATAAGCTATAAGTTATAAGCTAAACCAAACACATCAAAATTGCTTAAATTAAGTTGAAAGCTGAAATAAGCTGATTATAATTTCTGCCAAACAGGCACAATGTTGTTTTGGATCATTTCGAGAAAATAGTTAAAATTGAAAGTTTTTAACTTATTTTAAGTCATATTATCTTTCACATTTTTTATACATTTTTTCAAAAAAATTTCAAAAAATTAACTTTTAATCATCTTCACTAAACAACCTTTTATTTCATTTAATGCATCTTGGAATGTGTTGAAACTATTTTACCAATGATTAATTTTATGCATAGAAAATATAAATTTTTAATTATAAAATTATAAATTTAAGTGAGTGGTACTATATACACCAATTAATGTATATACTAACATATCAACTGGTGTTATAATATTATGGGTAATGCTAGGGATACAAGTTACAAATATTATGGGTAATGCTGGTGTTATTATTATGGGTAATGCTGGTGTTATTATTGACCACATTTATTATACAAGTTACAAATATCTAAAACTATACAAATGATGTCACATCATCTGTTAGTATATTAGTGTTAGGGGTGTAATTTTGGCTCGCGGTCCAAGGTGGGCCCAGCCCATTAAGGCCTGAGCCCAAGCCTAGTCTGAGGCCTTGGGCCTAGGCCTGAGCCATCGTTTTGAAACCCGGCCCGGCCCGTGGCACGCCATGGGCCCGCTCAAGTCTCGTCCAAAAGCCCGATCCGAGGCCCCGCCCCGCCCGGGCCACTCGAGACCCAGTGTTATTTTTAATAGAAAATAATAAAATTTTGGTAGAAAAAATTTAAAAAAATAAAAACATTTGTTTAGGCCCGCCCAAAGCCCGAGCCCAAGCCCAGGGGCCCAGCCCGAGGCCCAGCCACTCGTGGCACGCCCATGGGCCCGCTCAAGTCTCGTCCAAAAGCCCGATCCGAGGCCTCGCCCCGCCCGGGCCACTCGAGACCCAGTGTTATTTTTAATAGAAAATAATAAAATTTTGGTAGAAAAAATTTAAAAAAATAAAAACATTTGTTTAGGCCCGCCCAAAGCCCGAGCCCAAGCCCAGGGGCCCAGCCCGAGGCCCAGCCACTAGCCCGCCCATAGCCTGAATACCTTTGGGCCTAGGCCTAGTTTTTTTGCCCATGGCCTGGCCCGGCCAGATTTTTGGGCGGGAGCCCGCAAGGCTTGACATAGACCGGCCCGGCTCGGCCCGAGCCCGAGCCCGGATGGGCCGGACCAAAATTACACCCTTAATTAGTGTGTACATTAATAGATACATATAACATTATTCAATTCAAATATCATTGAAATATTTAAATAGTAATAAATACATCTGATTTCACAAATATATTAAAAACAAAAAGTTACTAAAATCAAAACAAACTAATGTATCGGCTTATTTTGAGAAGTTAGTTAAAAACTATCTTCTAACTTTTAATCCATTTTTAAGTCAAATCATTTCTCATATTTAAAAAAAAATTAACTTTTAACCATCTTTTTAAAACAATCCATCATTATTAAAGTAGACATTAACAAGTGCCTCTTGTTAAGAATTAAACTTCAAATTATTAATTATTAATCTAAACAATGTTAAAACATTGAATAATAAGGGTTCGTTTGGAAAACTTTTTTAGTTTATTTTTTTGGTTTTTTGATTAATTTAATCTGGCTAAATTAGTTTTATATATGAAGAATTTTTTGATTTTTTTGTTTTGTTTTTTAGAAAAAAAATGAAATGATTATGGTTTAAATATTGTATTTAATCTTATTAATTTATTTAAGCTATTTTATCACCCAATTCACTTGGCAAATGTCCTCGTTTGGGAACCCTCCCTTTTAGTTAAAAAGTTAAAAAATTACTAAAAATTAACCAAAAAGTCAACCATCCATACCAAAAAGTCAAAGATTCTCTTTTCTCTTTACTTTTTACACATCTTTTCGTAAAAATTCAAAAAGTCATCTCAAATATACTAGTTTTTTTAACTCATATTTTAACCAAATAATCAAAAAGTTACTAAATTAACATGTTTCTAAACGAGAGGCCTCTTTTGACAAGAGGTTAAAAATATTTTTTTTGGGCTATTTTTAACATCTTTTGAATTATAATACCTCTTAACCTTTTACATATTTTTTTTCAAAAAAAAAGAGTCAAAAAAATTAAAAATTTATTTTTTAACTTACTTTTTCAAAAAAAAATTAACACTGTATTTAATTAGAAGATTTAGAAAATAATTTTAAAAATATATATAGTTATATTTTATTTATATTTTACTTATTTTTTTTATTTTTCTTTTTAATTTTTTTTTAAAATTTTCTAACTAAACACAAACACTGTATATAAGTACTCCGATGAGATGTACATTTGTACTAAGGCAGGCATGCGGGAAGTACTGTGCAAGAAGAGAATTAAGAGGGTGTTTTGGACGAGCGTTTGGATTTTTGAAGAGAGAGAGAGAGAGAGAGAGAGAGAGAGGAGAGGAATGCAGTCAGCAGTCAATGTGACAGCTAAACCACAGCTGTCCATCATATCAGAGAAACCCCCAACAGGCCCTCCCTGAGAAGTTATTCCTATTCGTTGATTATGAGGTACAGTCACGTATATTTGATTGATAAAATAAATAAATAAATAAGACTCACAATTTTGAATAATGTTTTAGAGCACTAAATTGAGAGCTCTAGAGCATCAC